TCATCCTCATCATCATCACCAACACCATCACCATCAACATCATCATCATCATCATCATCATCATCATCATCATCAGTATCATCAACATCACCATGATCGTCATCATCGTCATCGTCATCATCAGCTTCAGCATCGTCATCATCATCAACATCATCACCATCATCATCATCCTCATCTTCATCGTCATCGTCATCACTGCCATCATCCTCATCCTCATCCTGATCCTCATCCTCGTCATCGTTATTATCACCACAATAATCATCATCATCATCATTATCATCATCATCATCAGCATCATCATCAGCATCATCAGCACCAGCAGCATCATCATCATCATCAACAACAGCATCAGCATCGTCAGCATCGTCAGCATCGTCAGCATCGTCATCATCGTCATCATCGTCATCATCGTCATCATCATGCCTGCCCTCCTCCAGGCTGCTGTCCCTCTTCATCATCCTGCCCATCCTCCCTGTCCTCGTCCCGGCTGCTGCTGGCTGTGCTACTGCTGCCGCAGCAGATTATCGCTGTTCTCCTGCTGCCACTGCCCCTTCTCCAGCCCCTCCGCAGGAAGATCGCGAGCAGGACCGGCGCAAGCAGGATGGGGGGAGGAGGGAGGAGGAAAGAGGAGGAGGAGGGGAGGAAGGGAACGAAAGGAGACGGGAGCAGCGAGACGGGAGGAGGGACGCAGGAGGAGGGGGAGCTCCCAGACCCCCGACGTCACGATGTCCTCCTGCGTGAACTTCCAGGAGGCCTGGACCCCTCGCCGGGGCTCCACCTGAAGTCACCCTTCGGCGGCCCAGGGGCCCACCGAGGGTCCCCCCGCGAGGCGCGAGCAGCGCAGCAGAAGAAGCCTGCCGCCGCGACTCTTCCCTCGGCGCTGGAGGGGTCTGGCTTGCGAGAGGAGCCGCCCTGCTCCTGCTCCTGCTCCTGCTCCTGCCCCCCCCCCCCCCCCCCGCGGCGCCAGGGTGAAGCTGTCCGCGGGCGGCTGTCGGGAGGCCCCGCCGCCTGAGGCCACGGGCTGGGGACGAGCTGGGGTGCGCACTCCGACCGCCCGACCCCTCCTCGATCTGCCTCCTCCACTTCCTCCCCTCCTCCTCCCCCTCCGCCTTCTCCACGTCCTTCTCCACCTGCTCCTCCCCATCATCCGCCTTCTCCTCTCTTCTTCTCTTCGACGCTTTGGGGCGGTCAGGCGCGGCCGCGGCCGCGCGGGCGCGGCCGAGGCGGGACCGTCCCGGCCGCGGCAACCGCGGCCACAACGGCATGCCAAACCTACTCACTCTCTTGAGGGAACACGTTCACTCGCCTCCTCCTCCTCATCATTATCATAATACTTGTAGTAACAATAATAACACCAACAATAATAAACATAATAATAATAAAATAATTAATAATAATAATAATAATAATAAGAAGAAGAATAATCATCATCATCATCATCATCAGCAGCAGCATCATCATCATAATCACCATCATCATCATCATCAACATCATCATCATCATCATCATCATCATCATCATCGTCATCATCATCATCGTCAACATCATCATTATTATCATCATCATCATCATCATGATTCTCATCATCATCATCATCATCATCATCGTCGTCGTCGTCATCATCATCAGCATCATCATCACCATCAGTGTCATCATCATCATCGTCATCATCATCAGCATCATCATCAGCATCAGCAGCACAATAATCATCATAATGAACATCATCCTCAGCAGCATCGTCATCATCATCATCATCGTCATCCTCATCGTCATCATCATCAGCATCAAAACCATGAACATCATCAGCATCACCAGCATCGTCAGCATCATCAGCAGCATCGTAAACATGATCATCAGCAACATCAGTATATGCATCATCACCATCATCAGCAGCAGCATCATCTCATCATCATCAGCATCATCATCAGCATCATTATCAGCATCATCATCAACAGCATCATCATCGTCATCATCAGCATCGTCATTATCATGATCCTCCTCATCCTCCTCATCATCATCCTCATCCTCATCCTCATCATCATTATCATCGGCATCAGCATCAGCATCGTCATCGTCATGTTCATCTTCATCATCATAATACTAATCAGCATCATCATCATCATCATCATCATCCTCATCATCATCATCATCACCACCATCACCATCATCATCATCATCACCATCATCACAATCACCATCATCAGCAGCATCATCACCATCTTCATCAGCATCATCATCATCATCGTCATCATCAGCATCATCATCAGCATCATCATCGTTCTCTCCCTCCCCCTCCCCCTCCCACTCCCCATAACCCCGTCCTCCCCACCTTCTCCTTCTCCTCGGTATCCTCCTCCTCGTCCTCCTCCTCATCATCCTGAAATACTGAGGCACTGAAGGCCTGTGAGTCCGCCGGACGCGACCATCCATCTGCTCCTGCTCAAGCTCCTCCTTCTCCTCGAGTTGCTTGGCGTGCGCCTCCTCCCACTCCACTCCTCCT